CCCGGTGACAGTTCCTGACGACAGCGCGCCACACGTATCGCAGGCCAGCACGTTGTCATGGCATGATAGCGTGCCTTGTCAAAGTGAACGCCCACCCAGCTTGGAGGCACAAGTTTCAGCTGCCGCTGGTGTTTTTGCCGATCTCATTGTCCTTGTCCTGCTTGCGGCCCCGTTGACCCACCGACTCCTCCTCGGCCCCCTGCACGTCGGCGCGTGTGCAGGCATCCGAATTGCTGGATACTTGTTGCACATGATTGTGTCACGGGCTTTTGCCGGGAGCATTGCAACAGTGCTCGTTGCAGTTGTCGCTCGCCCCAGGGCCCGTCGCCACGGGGTGATTCTTCACATGTGCGCAGGTGCCGTCGTACCGAATGCCAGGCTCATGTTGACACCAGATGCCATACAGGATATTGTCGTACACACTGTACTGATCGTGCTTGCAGCAATTTCAGCAGCCGGTCGAATCCAGATACGCACTCTAGACCGCTGGAGCGCTACTTATCGGACATGTGCGCGAATCTCCCGGTTGATGCCGCGACCTTGCCTGCACAGGTCCGTGAATCCTTTGACCATCTTGTGTCATTTGCAAATGCACAACCTTCGGGAAACGGCCGCGGTTCTCGCCGTCGCCAACGCGGCGAGAGCCGAACGTCTTGAGCTTGGCTGTTTTGAATACGAACCGATTATGGTTATCAGATGGTTCTGAGCACTTTGCCTTTCACGGCTTGGTTGATTTGTTGCAGATGTGGGAGGTGGATTTGCTTTGCGTGCAAGAAACGAAGGCTCCACAAGGGGCAGGCTTGCCCGTTGACCAGCCGTTTTCTTATGATGGGCCCCAAGGCTGGGGAGGCTGTGAAGCTGGGTTTCTGGTGCGCTGCGGTCACTCTTCATGGCCCGTTCCGCCTCGTCATGTAAGCAACATTCGCTTTCGTTGGAGATGTGTGTCTTCGGGCCGTCCTCTCTTGATTTGCAGTTTTTACGCACCCCATGTCGGCATGCGTTTTCCTGAGCGTGTTAGTTTCTGGACCCAGCTACGAGCTTCGATTCAAGAAGTGCTTGAATCCCACCCGCGCGCATGTTTAATTTTGGCTGGTGATTCGAATGTATACTTGTCTGAAGTCATGGGCCGTGATCGTGAAAGGCACGCGGAATCAGAACTGCGTGTGATGATTCGAGGCTTATGCCGAGATTTCGGGCTTGCGATTCAAAATCCGTTTGATGTTCCCACACATCGGTCCGGATCATCCATTGACCTTGTGCTGGCATCTCAAGATCTGACTGTAAGCAACATTGTTGTGCATGGCGGTTGCTCTTGCGCCTGTCCGGCTGACTTTTGCTGCCCGGTTCTAGGTAGTGATCATCACTTTTCAGGTTGCTTTGTCGCCCAACGCCAATGACGGAGCCACACTTCCCCGTTGGCCTCGTGTCCGTGATTGGCTGCCCATTGTGCAGGCCTTACGGCCTCGCCTTCTGGCGTGGACAGCTAAGTTGTCGCAATTGCGTTGTAATGCCGACGCTCATTCGTCTGAGGCTCGCCGTGCAATACTCGACGTTCTGCAAGGTGAATTTGTCCATATGTTTTGGGATGCAGCTTGTCCGCAACCGACTCGGGCACCCCGCCGCAGGCCCCAACCAGACTGGTGGGACGATGAATGTTGTGACATGATGGTGTGCAGGAATGCTGCATGGCGCTCATGGTGCCGTGAAGGCACAGCCCAAGCACGTGACACATTCCGCGCCAGGCGTCGTGGATTTCATCATTTAGTCCGCAAAAAGAAAGCTTTGTTCTGGCAACACTGGCTTCAGACGCAGGAACGTGTTTCATCCACATGCCCGCAGCTTGTTGCCCGTAACATCCGTCGGCAGTTCGGGCCCTCTCGTCGCCCGGTGCCTGCTAGCATGCGCTCATCCTCGTCGCTTCCTGGCACTGTGGAAGGTGCATCTTGCCTTGAAGCTTGGCGCTGTCACTTTCGAGACGTGCCCGCATCCGTAGGTTCTGCTTCCACAACTTCGCCTGACGTCCGGCGTTTGCGTAGTGTCATGTCAACCACAGCCAGTCGTTTCGATTATCCGTTTTCTGAACCTGAACTTTTGCAGGTTCTGCAACAGTTGCCTCCAAACCGTGCTCCCGGCCCGGATGGCTTGACCTATGAACTGTATCGGGTGGATGATGACACCTTGCGCCGTGCACTCCTTTCCATCTTTGAGCTTGTGCGTCACTGGGCTGTGGTGCCTTCAGTATGGCGTTCTGCTGTTGTCACGCCTTTGCACAAAACTGGTGCGGAGGATGAGTTCACGAATTATAGACCCATTAGTCTGCTCTGCTGCGGGTTGAAGGTATTTGAGAGGTTGCTTCCCAGGCGACTTCTCCCGCATGTGAACCCCCGGATTGATGAGAGCCAAGCTGGCTTCAGGTGGGGTGCTGAGGAACAAATTTACACTCTCGTTGAAACTCTACGCCTTCGTGCTCGCAAACGCACCTTCTGCGCTTTTGTTGATGTGCGCAAAGCCTTCGATGTTGCATGGAGGGATGCCGTTCTCCTTCAGCTCGCTGCTGTTGGTGTTGCAGGTTCCACGTGGCGGGTTCTGGATGACCTCCTCGGCGCTACACGTGCGAGAGTTTTGGTCAATGGCGCTTTGTCTGAGCCTTGGGATGAGCGGGCCGGTGTCCGCCAAGGCAGTGTCCTTGGCCCTCTCTTGTTCAACATCCTCTTTGATGGCATCTCAGCCGCCGTTCGTGCAGCTTGCCGAGGTGTCAGTTTAGGTCGTGGCCCTCGTGCACCGCGTGTAACTCTCCTGCTGTACGCAGATGATCTGGTAGTGTTGGCTGAATCGGAGGCTGAACTGCAACGTGCGCTTGACGCAATTGGAGCTTGGGGAGCCCGTTGGCGTTTCTCGTTCGGCATTGGCCCCGAGAAGACAGCTGTTCTTGCTGTAGGCTGTAGGTCTTGCGCATTTCGGTTCACCCTACAGGGCTCCGTTGTGCCAGTAGTTTCTGAGTATCGTTACTTGGGAGTCGTTCTTCAAGCATCCAAGAAATGGTCTAAGCAGACCGACAGGCTGCTTAGCAAGAGCACCCGCAAATTCTACCAATGCGTGGCTTGGGCAGAAGGCCGCGGCCTTCACACAAGCTTCCGCCGAAGCTTGTTCCATTCCTATGTGCTGCCTTCGTTGACGCATGGTGCAGCTTTCCTGGATGATGCGTCTGTGCGACGCTTGGAGAAGCATGTGTGCCAGTTGGGGCGTCGCCTTCTCAACTGGCCAGCACGCTCGCCAGGCGCAGCCGTTCTCGGTGAACTTGGCTGGGACCCGTTCGCAGTGCAAGTCCTCCGTGTGCAAGCAAGTTTATTTGGACGCCTTTGCTCGGCACGTGTTTTTCGTTATGCTGTTGGCATTCAGAGCTCCCTTGCAGCTCGATTTTCTCTTGCTTTGAGGTCTGCAGGTGTGACGTTGCAGGCTGAGTTCGGTTTAGGCCCGGGTAGTGACGTGTCCATTTTGCAGCGCTGGCGACACCGTTGTGTGCGCCCAGCTCTTGATGGAGTTGGCTTGCGGCTGCGCCGGGCTGAGGCATTGCAAGTTGCTTCGCTCGCCACTTTCCTTCAATGTCATCCGAACTTGGATTTCTCACCTTGCATCCATGCATCTCGCTTGCCATCCTCGGTAGTGCGGGAATGGACACTAGCTAGGTGTGGTCACCATCCCTTCTTGGATGGTCGTGTCGCCCGCCATCGCAACTTGGATCACCCATGTCTCTGTGGGTCTGCCGATTGGAGCCTCATCCATGCTCTTCGTACTTGCCCTCTGTTTCTGCACCTGAGGCGCACATGGTTACAACGCTTGCAGTCTCGTCACTACGACGTGGACTTGCTGTCTGATGACAGTCTCTTGCGGTTCATCTTTGCACCGCGTGGGATGGGCAATACGCGTTCGTCCGTGCATGCTCATGTGCTTTTCGTTGCTGGCATTTGTCAAGCGCAACGATCCTTGCTTGAGGGCTTAGGGCTCTGACGTAGTCGTCGCCTGTACATTCTTTGTATTATACATGTGCTTCTGCTGCTTCTTGCGGCATGATGTTTCACATAGTCTTCGTGTATATATTTAGCTGATGACCGCAAGACGGTTGTTTCAGGACTCTTGCTGCTGCTGCTGCATACTGATTGTTCTCATACTCCTTGATGGTGTTGTGAAGCATCTTTGCTTCCTCCTTGAAAGCCTGGATGTTGGCCTCATCGTAGCTGGGCCGTTCGGAAGGCTTGAGTTTTTTTCCATAAGATGTCCAGGTCTTTCACTCTCTGATGCCTTGTATCCGCAGCTCTAGAAATAGGCAAAGGCCGCGATTGATGCCCGGGAACATTGATCTTCCACGGCAAGTGGAGGACAGGGCGGTCCGCGAAATGACGGAGCGAGAGCGTGAACTATTTTTTGGAATGCATCTTCTACTGTGCAAACACAAGCCAGGCGTTGACCCTTGGACAGTGCCTGCTGCTTTGCGGACGTAGGCAGTTCTTTGTATAGGTTTCGAAGCTCGAACCTCAGATCTTTTAAGTGTACTTGCACCCTACATGAAGTTTGAGAAAGAAGGTTTTTTTGTCAGACTCGGCGGATCTGTCATACGACGAAGCGGTTGCACGGCTGGAGGACCCTGCGACTATGTATGACAGCGAGTCAGCATGGCGGTCCTTTAAACAATGGGTCCAAATTACGCGAGCACACTGCCTCAGCCGACGACCCCGCCGACTCGGGCGCTGTTCCCACGTGCCCGCGCCCAGCAGCCGTCGAGGCCGAGGCTGTGGGAAGCATTAGATGGCGTCGACCTCCAGGACGAGCTCCGCCACCCAGTGCGCACGCTCCAAGATGCGCCACCCTGCCTACGAGCCGCAGTCCGAGGCGCACTGGTGAAAGTGCTGGCCCACTTGCATGCGGCGCTCGTTGCCGGCCAAGGAAACAGTGCGGGTGCAGGGAGAGCCTGGAAGCTTTTCCTACTTGCCCCGCGAATGCTGCTCGCGCGCCCGCAACACCAGGGCGCGCAAGGCAGGGCGCTACTCCTGGCTATAGGGCACAGGCTTTCCAGCGCGGGGAGTGGTCGGGGTTGCTGGCCGAGCTCGACGCGGTGAGCTTTCTCGCGCTAGGCACGTCCTCACGGCCGCTGAGCTCGCGCCAGGCACCGAGGCCACCTGGGATGCATTGACGGACCCAGCCAAACGCCCGCCCGAAGCACGCGCCGCACCACCGCAACACCTGCTCCAGTACCAACCTGAGCAACCCGTCCGCTTGTCTTCACGCGCGGTGGCCGCAGCGCTACGGGAAGCGCGTCGGGGGGGGGGGGCGGCTGGCCTTTCAGGAATGAGGGCAGAGCACTTAAAGTTGCTCTTGCAGGACTTGGAAGCATTGGAGTTGCTCACGGAGGCGGCAACATGCCTTGCGCAAGCCAATGTGCCCTCCGACATCGCCGCCGGCTTGGCCATGGCACGGCTAACGGCTTTGCGCAAACCCGACGGGGGCGTACGAGGTATAGCCACAGGCGACGTTTTTCCCCGCCTGGACGCTCGCCAAGGAGTGGACCCACACCTTTGACCAGGCCACACGACCGTACCAGTTCGCGCTCCAAGCCCGCGTAGGCACGGACGCCCTAGCAGCCTGCGCGCGCGCGGCTCTTTCCCTGCGCCCCGAGGCCGTGCTAGTGTCGCTGGATGGCCGCAGCGCGTACGACTGCATGTCCCGCACCGCCTTCTTGACCAAACTGCACGAGGTGGCACCGAAGCTGCTCCCGTTTGTTAGGCTGTTCTACGGCCGAGCTACTGTTGGTGGGATGCCGCTGGCAACTGCCGGCTTGTGCCCCAGGGCGAGGGTTGCGAGCAAGGCGATTCGCTCTCGGACAACACGACGCCCTTTGCCAAGCCGCCGCAGCACTGCACCCCGACGATGCGCTTATGGCCTTTCTCGACGATCTTCATGTCGTCACAGTGCCCGAAAGAGCCCCCGCGGCCTTAGACAGCACGACGGGAGCCGTCTGCGGCATCGCGTCTAACCTCGGCAAAACACGAGTCTACGCGGCAGCCGAAGGGCCCCCTCCGCCGGGCATCTCAGAGCTGGGCGAAGCAGTCTGGCGAGGCAACAAGCCGCCGGCCGAAAGAGGAGTCGTTGTCCTGGGCACTCCCATCGGACACCCAGACTTCGTGCGCCAGTGGGCGGAGGAGCGCATGTCGGAGGAGCGCCGGTTCCTGCAGCAGTTGCCCTTGCTGCCGGACTTGCAGTGCGGTTGGCTTCTTCTCTCCATGTGCGCAGCCCCTCGGGCGAATCATGCGCTCCGCACGCTGCCCCCCTCCGCGTCGGGAGGGTACGCTCAAGCACATGATGCAGCCATCTGGGAGATTCTGCAGGCCTGCATGGGGGGCTTCGGCGACCAGCGCTCGCCTCAGGCTTGGGCCGTCGCCACCTTGCCCGCGGCGCACGGAGGCCTCGGCTTGCAATCCGCGGAACGCACGGCTCCCGCAGCGTACTGGGCGGCCTGGGCAGATGCGCTGCCCGTGATCGCTGCTCGAGCGCCCGACTTCGCTCGCAGATGCCTGGCCTCACTCGCGAAGCGGCGGCAGCACGGGACCTTTTAGCAGCAGAGAGATGGCACGACTGCCCCAGTTGGAGCTCCATCCTGCAGGGCGCACGTCCGACCCCGGCAAACGATGCAGGGCTTGGGGACTGGCCCATGGCTGGCAAATGCATGCATCGCGCACTCGCAACACACACTCCTGGAGACGCGGATGTCGGAAAAA